GAGAGACTAGTGCCACATGGCACTAGCGGCATTCCGTGGGTAAGAGACACCTCTAACGTCGTGCTCAAGCCACGGAATAACATCGGACGATGGAGCTAAAAAAAGATGAAGACCGAGAGAACTTGAGGTTTCCTGAGACGCCAAATGATCCGCTACAAAATTTACCTCTCGAAAAATATGTGAAACCTTAACCGGCCAGTTCCGACTGAGTACTTCTCGTATACCTAATTTATTCTTTATTATTGATCTTATTCCTTCTCGTATACCTAATTTATTCTTTATTATTGATCTTATTCCTACCTGCCAAGTATGAGTTATTGATAATATTATTATTAACTTATAGATAATAAATGAAAACAAGGCTGTTTATATATCTTTTAAATGTATTAAATAGTATAAAATAAATTGAATATCTAACCATACAGAGATTGGATAGGACTTGAACTCCATATTAATTTAATTTCCACATATCCAATTTGCCAATTTTATTTGTTAACTCCATGCACACATCAACATAACTTGAAAAACATAACAACAAAACCATACCACAAACCACACAATTCAACAACATTCAACAACTGTTCCACCATAAACTACACCATCCAGAACAATTTTTTCACTCCCACAAACAAACACAATCATCAAACTCTTTACACAATCCCCTCACTCCAACAAATCAAACCCAAAAAAAAAATTGTTTTTCATTTTTTTTTGTTCAAACACAGGAACTAAAGTTCCAATCTTTGACTTTCAAGAAATAGAGAACCTCCTCCTCCTTGGCTTAGTCAAATCCACCCCATCCTCCAGATTCGACGTGTCCTTCGACCCGTGCCTGAAAGGGTTCAGCTTCCCGAGAGTTTTTGACACGGTCGAGAAAAAAGTCAACTTTCTCGACCCGCTGCTCGACTTAGATGATGTCCCCTGCTGACTTCTCTGAATGTCCTGTATGTACACTTTCATCTTCAGCAGCTCGGTTCTAAGCGCTTCGTTCTCCTTCACGAGCGACACGTCCGCTTGAAGCTGATTCCTCGTGACTATTGCATCGGGAGGTTTTTGATCGTCCGCGCCACTTCTAAGCTTCAGCTGATCGTAATACAACGCGTGCAAAACTATCTGCACGGGCAAACGCTTGTTTTGCGAGGCGTGAACTCTTGCCTCGTACGATAGCTTCAACGTGTCCATCACGCTACACACTTTCTCGCGCTCGATTTCATCTAGGTTCGGATGTGCCTAAAACAAAAAAATTTCAATCACAATGTGTTATACTTAAACTCTATATTTTTAAACAAAAGTTGGATATATGAGGGGCAGCAGAGTTGGCAGCAGCCTTCACTTGGAACCAATAGGTCTCAAGTTCGAGTCACACAAAGAAGTAAGTGGAGTAATGTTTTTATTAAAAAAAAAGAGTTATAGATCTAATAGACTAACCTTCAAGTAGATATCAATCGCCCGGTAAAGATCATCGTCCACCTTCCGAGCCGCCTTAGGAACCAAATTCGCAATCCCATTAAACTTCGAAATGCTCAAATCGCCGTAAGTGGAAATCTCCGCAAGATACGCGTCGACCGTTTTAGCAACCCTCTGCATTGCCGTCGAGCAAACCTCACGAAAATCGCCCGCGTTGAAAACCGACACATTCTTCTCCTTCTCAACAAATCCCGATACGATCCGCCTCACGGACTCGAGATCGAACAATCTCTCGCCGTCGTAAGTGAACGAGAGGACCAAAAGATCGTCCACAGTCACGTGCTCCAAAATCGCCGACACGCGCTTCTCGAGCTCGTTTTTGCACCGGCTATCGGCTCGTAGGAAAATAGCCGTCCTTAGGAGACAACACAAGAAGTTTATAGGGAATGCCGATTTTTCCTGAGGCAACAAGGCCACGATCGACTCGAGGAGTCTCCGTTGCTCGGCTCGAAGGTCGGAGTCGCCGGAATCCGATGACTTGGCGCCGTTTCCAGAGTGGTCCCGCACGAGATCGCGAAGGGATCTCTCGGTGTACGTGATTATGGCGCTAGCTAGAGTGAGGCCTTTCGCGCCTCGGGATTTCATCGAGGATATTATTTTCGAGAAGAAGTTTATGTCCAAGATGGTTAGCTCCTCTGTCCACCAGTTGGGAGGCGAGCGGCTCGGGAAATTCGCCTCGACACAAGCCTACGCAAAAATCATGATCATGATGAAGGGAGAAAATTAACTGAAGTAAGAAAGAACAATTGGCTAAATGTTTTTTTTTTTTTTTTTTTTTTTTTTTTTTTTTTTCTGGCTCCTATATCAATCTACTGACTAATTCCTTTTCTCAACCTGACAAAATGAAATAATTAAGTAGCGATAATCGATAAAACCGAGTGTCTTTCAGCCTAACAATCGATCAATCAGCTAAATGCTTGATTAAGTTTCTTAGACTAAAATAACAGCAATGGCCCAAATTAACTAGCTTGTTTGATGATTAAGTACCATTCCTTGTAGTCAACTGAAGATCAATTGGCATATGAAGGTGCTAAACCTTAATGAAAACAGACATACTGACTAAGATTTCGAGTTCTTAACACCCTTGTGAAAGGAGGTGACTTGATGGTATAATATCAGCTAAGCTACAAAACTTTTTCAAAAATTAATGTTTTTTCTCATATGGGCTTCTAAGCTAAACTAAGCACACATCATCTAAAAATTCACATCACAAGCCAATATTAAAAAAACACATTTACATCCTTAATAATAACAATACCTTAGCACTTGCAATCTCAACACATTTTTGGACAATCCTGAGATCCTCTGCCATTGGAAGAAGATCCTCACAAGACTTGAGCACCACAAGTGCACCAGACAATGTTGTAAGGGCAACTTGGGAAAGAAAATCATCGGTCCTCCCGGCCAGATTGTTGTCGCAATATTTGTCGGTCATTTGCAGATACTCTGCCGCGCACCTTAGAGCAGCCACGTTGTGAACCGTGATCTCAAAATTGACTCCATAACAGAATTTAGCAGCCTTTTCGAAGGTCTCGGTGCCTCCCGGTATGTCCGAAAGGTTTACTTTCGCCAAGTCGGGTTCTTTCGAATCAAGAATTAGTTTTCTTATGTGGTTGCTCTTTGCTACAAGCATGAACTACAACAGCAGCCCACAAAAGGAAAAATGAGTTCTGATGATCAAGAATCAATTTTCTCATATGGGTTGCTAGATTTTAGTGTTTTTTTTCTCATATGGGTCTTGCTAAGT